GTTCTGGCCGCCTGGATGTTGGTTGATGCTAGCTGGACAGGCAGCTGTACTGTTGTGGCCGCCTGGATGTTGGTTGATGCTAGCTGGACAGGCAGCTGTACTGTTGTGGCCGCCTGGATGTTGGTTGATGCTAGTTGGACAGGTAGCTGTGCTGTTGCACAGCTGGACAGGGATTTTAAAGGCATCGTGTGGTTTACTAAATGATTTACAAACCGCTCCCGTCTATCAACTGTTGACAAACAGTATGGGCAATGAAAGTGAGATGTGCCACGACAAGTTAAACCACATTTGAAGATGTAGAATTCTGCAAACCAAAACAAAACGATAAGATTAACAATAGTAAATATATAATTTGTAGATATATTTATGCCAGAAACAGTCACACTCAAAATAGGGCAAGCACAAATGTGAACATTAGGATGATAGCAGCAAATGCTAAAGATTTTTACACATCTGGAAATACGGTGGTTTAGAATTCACATTAGTTAGGACTGCATACAACTTTTCAAATAAACGCCATAAAAATTAGAAAATTGACAATTCTGTCACAAACATTAGTGTTAATCAAATTGTGTTTTACAAACCTTTATGTTGAACCATAGCAGTATTTGCAATATGGTTCACCACCTTGTACGACTCCTTGGCACAGTACGAGCAAAGGGGACATCTATATGTGTCATCTTTGCAATAAGGTTGTAACATCTCCCCCTTTTTAACATTACATACAGAAAAATGAATCTGCTGAAAGAAAACAAAGAATGAATTTTAAAAGTTATAAAGTGGTATCTATTTTTATCTTGATGCACTATGATGGTTATTCACTGCGGTGGATCCCTCCCAATTCAACATGTTACCGTAAGCGCTGTAATAAACGGGCACCAGGAAGGCTGGGGAGACTTCAGATTTCTGAATCAGGGGAATTTATTGGATGACAATGGTAATGTCTTTAGTCTGGAGGAATTTAATTGCAAGTATGGCATGGATTGTTTAAAGAAAAATTATGAAAAAGGAGTACGAAATATGCCGGAAGTGCTCAGTCAGTTAAAAATAATTTGTCAAATATTACTACTCCAAGACTACACAAAATTAAAATTGATTATATGGACATTGCAGATAAAAAAATGTAATAATAAGTTTTTAAGTCAATATTTAATAAACACTAATTACCCTGGAAAAACAAAAAACACACTCGCCTTACAAAATTTTGACGTGTCTATCATTTCAAAAATTAGAACAAAATACTAAAAATTTCCAATTCCTCCTAAATATAAAGAAGTACATTTAAAATTTTTGAATAATATTTATCCTTCAAATGATTTTATAAAGGACAGATTTAAATTTGATGTAGAAAATTGTGGGTTCTGTAAAACGAATAAAGAAACGACCAGACATTTGTTTTTTTAAGTGTTGTGATATACAACAGTTATGGGGACTATTACATAATTTTTTTTCTTCCAAATCCATAGACATAGATTTTTTCTCTTTTCAGAATATTCAGTTTGGTTTATTTCTAGATAATGATAATGTGGAATTTCTTGTTAATAATGTAATCATTGTAACAAAATTTTATTTAAATAAATGTCTATTTGCAAAATGCTCTCCCTCATTCTGTGATCTAATGCATAGGCGTAATTTGCAGGGGGGTTAGGGGGGTTATGACTAGGGCTGTGTATTGGCAAGAATTTGGCGATACGATACATATCATGACAGAGGGGTCACGATACGATATATCCCGATATATTGCGATACTATAAGCAAGGCGATATATCGCGATTTTTTTGTCCAAAAATTCTATTAAATAAAAACTTCTTACAGGGGAAAAAACTGAAAAACCAAAATTCATTGTCTCAGAAAATTCTAATATTACATAGACATACTTTTGATACATTTAGCTGTGTTCTGCTTTGTATGTATTT